TGGGGCGGCGGGGGGGGGGCGGGGGGCGGGTCACCATGTTGAAGGGGTGACTGTAATTTTATTTACTTAAAACTGAACTGGTCAATGGTTAAGCAAGACCCCCTGGGACTCTGAATGTAGCATAGGGGGAAAAGTCGAGATAATCATTCTATTGGTCAATTCGGGGACAGAATTAGATTTAAGTTATTTGTGAAGACAGAGAATCAATTTGCTAATCCTATTCAGATATGCCTTAAAAAAAAGAAGAGAAAGTGTTTTTGGTGTTAAACAGGTGACAGATACACTGACCTTGTATATGTTATTTTGCTAAATATAAAGCAGTCTTATAATTTGCTACCCATTTTTTGGCAGTGTTTCGTGACATGCATTTAGTGGTCAGGATTCATGTTTCGTATCATTACTTAGTTGGAAAACATTGTTCTATGCAGAAAAGTAAACTGTTTTGCTTCCTGGCTTTGGGGCAAAGCTGATGTCTCCCTCCCATATATTTTGTTCGTGTGGTTTATGCATTAGGCAGGTTTCCTCATCATTTTGACTGGAGTTTGAATGAATGCTTCTCATCAAGGAAAGTGACATCATCAGTCCCCCTTAGGCACCTCACTCCCCATTTTAAATCTAGTGTTATTCTGCCATTTATCACCTTCAAGACAAACTATTGCACAGGACCATTGATTTTCAAAAGGCCTTTAATTATCCATGTTAATGTGTACTGATACTTTTAACAAAATAAAGAAACATAATTCTTAAAATTATGACTTAGAAAAACCATGGATATATTACATAATAATAATGATCATATTTATAGTTATCAAAATATATTGCATTTTACCATAAAAAAAACTGACTGTTTAATCAACCTCAATCTGATAGGCAATATTATGTCAGATATCAAGTAGCCCTAACTGTTGATTAAATGTCAGTCTACCATAGAGGCAGAGCCCAATGATTATGTATGAAACCGATAATACAGGTTTTTTAAAAGTAATGTGTATATGTATATTACTGTACATTTTCTGTAAAAACTCTGCTTCCTCCAGGAAATGGATCCTCAGCACACAGGGATTTTGAAAATCAGTGGATGGCAGATTTATTGGAACTCTTTTATTACAACTATTCCTGGTGAGCAAAACACCTAGAACTGCTTGTTTGGCTATCAGAAAGGAACCTCACATATTCAAAAAATCAAATCATAAGCATCATATGTAGTTTCTCACTGATGGTTAATAACAATGTTATTAACCATCAGTGAGAAACTACATATGATGCTTATAACATTAATGACTGCCTGATGGTAGGTCAGTTGAAAGGTCTACTCTCCTTCTCCAAAACTGTACCCTCGAACGTTTCTCATCGTATATTAATTGAATCATTTGCAAAATGCCTTTTCAAGACCTTTTACAACGCAACATGGTGGCGTCCGTTTAATTAAGGTTCATTAAGAAAGACTGTCTATGTTTGCAAATAAATTTCTAGCAAGCAGGAAATATGTCCTCAATATGTGACACTATACACTATGTATCATCCATAATAATTATTCAGATAGTTAAAATGTTTTTCACCCTGCCGGGTGCAACGATTGACAAATGAAAGTGAATACTAAAGTTCAAACAAGGTGACCTAATGAATGCAAGTGTATCCAATTGCATCGCTCCAGGTTTTATTTAAGGAGTAAGTCTAACCCACGTCTTTGCCGTTACAGCTATTCGGTTCGCTGCCTTGATCCTTTTCTCGCTGTCTTGGCTCATCCCTGTCTAGGTCATGTCTGACTCCGACGTCCCGCCTCCTCTTGGGGATTTCGTTTCTCCTTCACCCGCTCTCGGTGAAGGTTTTGGCGCCTCCAGTCCACTGCGGAGAAGCGCGCGACTTTCTCAGCTGTCTCCAAGCCGGGACATCCGTCAATGGTCTGATCAGCAACTCCGGAGTTTTGTGGAGGAAGTAGGGATTCACGTCGCTCCCGATCTCTCCCGCTCAGAGATCATACAGATCGCCCTTAACCTCCCCCGAATGCCCGGATCCTCATTGGCCGTACTCACACCGGCCGCCTTCTCTCCGACTGTGCCCGCTGTTCATTTACCGACTGCGCCCTCTTCGCCGGCTGGGCTGCCAGCTTCTCCGGACCCCCCTGCAAAAGGTCTGCCGCCCAGATAGACTCCTCCTGCCCGAAGCGCCCCCGTCTTGCAGACTCCGACGCATTGGCTTCCTCACAACCCGGCACCTCGCTGTCCAAATTAAAAAATACTTTTACCGAATTAGGCATCCCCATATCGGAGGAGAAAACCATCGGTCCGCTCACTTCCTTGGAATTTTTGGGTATAGTGTTAGACAGCAACGAGATGAAAGCTTATCTGCCGATGGACAAATTGAATCGCATACGCTATTTTCATCTGCACTATGATTAATAATCCTTCATTTTGAAATGTACATTTTCCTACAAGCATAATAAATATTTTAAACAGAATTTTGCAGCGGAGTAGAGGGGTGGTTTTTGAGATCTTAGATTAATCAAGCATTTTCCATGCATTAAATGTTACAAGTATACACAACAAATCGCAAACTCACCAGTGGCATAAGCAAAAATAACTTTTTGCATTCCTTATGTTAATATAATTTCTTAAATGAGTTTTTGTAAAAATAACCTGAATATGTTATACATTTACTGCAGTGCTAAATGAGGCAACTCCTTCTTCTTAAACTGCATATGCTGAAACAATGTCCTGCACCATTTAATTTACCTCTAAAACGTTAATTGTGGGCATATGGAAGAATCAACACTGAGCCCAAAAATCCACAGGCGGTCAGGCTCCAGCCCACATGGTAACGCTGACTGCAATTTCACAATCACTGCACTTTCCAGCTCAATCTGTTTTTACTTTGCTGGGTGATAAAGCAGTCACCCAGGATGGTGCTGAATTATCAGCCTTCTGTTGTGCTCTCATGCAGCCAGAAAGAAGCCAAGCCTTGTCAGGTTTTCTCCTGCTCAGATTATACATATTAAAAAAAAAAAAAAAAAACCTTGGGAATTATCGAGTCATCACGGGTTATATGTGACAAAGAAAAAAGCAGGTACTGCCTTAGAGGATAACAGCTTTTCACCCCCTGGGAAGGGAGAAAAACACCCGACTGGGGTGGAGTGTGTAGGAAAGGTCTCACCTCCCGGCTGGGGATGACGCTGCTCTGTCTGCTCACTACTGCGGCGATCTGGCTGCCCTTGGGTCTGGACTGGAAGTAGTCAACGGAGGACTGGTGGGGAATACGTTCCACAGGACCCTCGATACGAATCTGTACAAGAAGCGAGAAATGATGGCAGAAGCACATCACCGCTAACATACATGTGCATCAATGACACCTCAAGCATCATTTAGCTATTACTATATTTAGTGTATTTCAATATTGTTTATTGTTTAGGTACTACAGGAATGGCAAACTTCTATATTATTCCTGACTTCAAGCCATTATGCTGCCAATGACGTTATAATGGAAGTCACAGTTGCAAAATAAATTTCATATGAACACATAATACACATTCACAGAAATTACAGAAGTTTACATGATTGTAGTGAACTTAATGTCACAACAAAATAAACTTCTTTTAGACAGAAAAACAAATGTTTCCAAATGATAATATATTAATATTATGATATTACTTTGTATGTTCTTATGATATTACTCTGGGGAAGGAAAAGCATTTACTTAGATCCTAAATGTTAAATGTGTCCAATAGCTGCAATAGTAATCTGACAGTATATATGGATGACCTTACTAAACAAACAGCACTGTTAACTGTTAGAATGAGGCGTGAACATGTTAGAATTCATTTAACCCACATTCTCCAGCCATTTTGTATTACAGCTCCGACAATCCGTAAACATTAACAGAGCTGGTACAGTAAAATCCCGTTATAGTGGACTCGCTTATAACGCAATATCGTCTATAACGTCCACTGTTCCCGGCCGTGCGCCTTTACGAATATGTAGAAAAAGCATTGGATATAGCGGACTCGCATATAACGGAATTTCGCTTATAACGGACAAACAATTTGGTCCCCAGGTCCACTTTCAGCTGTAGTTTTGTTCGGCTATAACGGACATGCAGTTCCGCCTACAAGTCGCGAGGCGTGCCGATGATATCCAGCGCAGATACGTACGTAGTCGAGATTATTAATAGTCACGCATCCGGTCAGGTAAAGATGGATGACTACAGTTACAATATAATAATCTATACCACAAGTGTGTCTGCTGGGGTGTGGCATGAGTAAATGGTGTCCTGTAGTTGTGTTCTGGGCAAACAGCAACTCTGGATATGACGGATTTTGGATATAACGGACTGTTTTGCAAGATCCCTTAAAGTCCGTTATAACGAGATTGTATTGTACTACAAAAAGTACATGTCTGGCTATACAAAGTAATCTTAAATTTATTTGTATTTGTTATTTGTTCTCACCTGTCGGTTTAGAGGCTCCCAGTAAAACACAAGGCAGGCGAAAGGATTACTGTCCTACAGGATATAAAAAAACAGATGTACAAATATGACCCTGTTAATAAAACTAACAGATTTTTTGTTACATGCCACCCCCCCCCCCCCTTCAGGTTTGCTCCTGAAACAACAACAGAATAAGCAGTCAGGCCTTAATGTTAATTAAGGACAAATAATATCTGCAATACAACACTAGCAACAAGAAAAAAGACAAAGTGCATTTATATTTATTTGTATGTAATGATAAAAGGAAAATGCTAAGGTTTGGGAGAAGAACTAATTAAATAATTTTATGTGGTTAAAAATAAAGTATTAGAAGTTAATCTCTTGATTACTCTCGATTAATCATGTCACCATTATTCATCTTTAAACAAGTAAACAGCAGGGTAAAAAACTAAGCAGAAAATGAAGACACAAAGCTATCAGAAAATACATCTGCTTGTCAAAACTTTCCTTCCTGAAGAAGTTCATTCTTTTTTTTGGAAATGATGATTTGTTAAAATTAGTAGTAATAATAAATTGTCAAATAAATTCACCAATATAATTTTAGGCAAAACTAATGAAATGAATATAAATTCTTTTACTCAGTATGCCGCGTAACGTCATGCTTAATGAATATCTGGAGCTATTAAGCAAAAAAGCTTTGAGCATCATGTAATATCAGTCAGTCAGGCACCGACTTCCAGCAGTTTTCCCTGCAGTCTGCGACTCACCAGCTCTGCACCCTTACGGCTCTCGTAGTTGGTGAAGAAGCGGAAGCCCTCGTGGCCGTAGCCTTTCAGCAGCACCATGCGGGCAGATGGAATTCCTTCCCTGCAGGGAAATAAACCCTCTAAATTACTTTAGCCTCATGTTTACATACCTTTGCAAAGGTAGGTGACAGAGCTGCATTTATGATTTTGGCGTAAAAAAATAAAATAAAAAAAAATTATGTTTAATGATGAATTAACATGGGATCCGTACGTAACTATGGAGGGTGTTTTGTGACAAAAGTCAATAAATAAATGTAACTCAAATAATTATTTATAAGTGTCATTTAAATCATTATTTAAATTATAATTGAAATTGTAAATGGTCATTTTAATAATCATTTACATATTTATTTATTGAATATTATCAGAAAACTAAACTGAGTTTCTTGTTAATTAATAGGCCTGTATTAAATAAGAGTGTCCTACTACATCAGGGGTCTCAAACTCCAGTCCTGGGGGGCCGGAGCCCTGCACATTTTTGGGTTTCCCCTCGTTTAACACACCTGATTCAACTCCTTGTGCTAATTGCCACACAGCTCTTGGGCTGAATCATTTGTGGTGGAACAGGGAAAGAACTAAGCTACACAGGGCTCCGACCCCCCAGGACTGGAGTTTGACACCCCTGTACTATATTATTTGTGCCCCCTCAAGTAAAGTGTTACAAAAAAAAATATATCATTTTTTAAAATATAACAATTTAAAAAAAATAAGATAAACAGGTAGTATAGCCTTTATAGGGGAATTAGCCTAATTTTTCTTATTATTTTTATGTTCTCATTGTGGAAATAACATGCACACTGTCATTTTGATTTTGTGAGAAATAAATACAATACTGTGCAAAAGTCTTGGGCAGTCATAGAAAATTATATTTAAATGATCTTCATGTTTTTGTAAAACTATGATTTATACCTGTCAAAGTGTGTCAGCTTAACCACTTCAAAACCTCTCCTAAAGTCAGCATTTGCAGCATCCATCCATTCCACTCATGTATCTTTTGAATCACTCGCACATGTTGTTTGTCTAATCAGTACCTCATTGAGTTAATTAATTAAAATAAAGTTATGAGCTGGTGGTTAAATTTAACGATTGTGTGGAATGGCTGGTAACGTTTGGGACTCAGGTTGTGTTCTTCTAGCCATCCAACAAGATATCAGTAACTTTTTGTAGAACAGAAGATATTATTCTTAGTTTTTATTGATGCGGTTAATTTGCATATATGTTCTAATGCTATTTATATACAGGCCTACACTTACTACCCTGATAAATGTACCTATTGCATGATAATGAGTTTGTATCAGACAAGTTTACAGCACAACATACATAGGTATTAAAAGAAAACGAGCTCTTGATGTCAGAGCAGTTTTTTATAACCAGGAGCCTGTAACATCGTAAAACTAATAAGCTGCCAAACAAAGCTTTTTAAACTTCATTAACTCATCCTTAGCTTGGTTGTCATAGCTATCAATGTAGACATAGATAAACTCGCGTAAATAATGTAACGTTATTTTGGTGTTCAAATCACACAAAAAAATGACAGAAAAGTAATTCAAAAAGGTTACAAAGGCTACATATATAATTTAGTGTTTCTGTGACGTCTATACACTTGCATAAAACAAAACGGTCAGTCAGTTCACAGGGTTGTTTACTTTGGTGAGCTGGCTGGTGTGAGATTTTCGAGAAAAGTCTGCACACACATGCACACGCATTTACATGTATGTAACAATTTTATTACCTTGTAAATAGCCCATAGGGTTTGCAAATTACACCAATGCTTTTGATGTAACTAATTTTAGGTTTATCATGGAATAATAGATTTGCCGGGAGATTTCTTGCGTGAGCGTGAGAGTCAACGTCTGAGTGTCACGCCTGGCGTGTAAGAGTCGGCAACCCTTAGTTTGGAGAACAGAAGATCTCTGACTAGATCAGGGGTCACCAACCTTTTTGAAACTGAGAGCTACTTCACGGGTACTGAGCCATACGAAGGGCTACCAGTTTGATACACTCTTCTTAAATAACATATTTGCTCAGTTTACCTTTAGTTATATATTATTATTAACGATACTCATCTAAGTGAAGACACTGATCACGTTTATGATTTTATGAAACTAATTCGTGTATAATAAACACGTTTTAAATGCTTTTTTAAGATATATTGTTATTTTCAAATCTATATAAATGCAAATGTGATTAAAGAAGAATAGAAACAGGATAAAATTAAATTTTAGACGCTGCTCACTGGAGAGTTGCGCTATTTTTAGAACAGGTCCGCGGGCGACTGAAGTGGTGAGCCCTGGACTACAGCAATCACTTTCGATATGGAAAAATAAAGCACCTGAGGCACGCAGGTATGAGACGTAGGGGCGTACTTCAACAAATCAGTCTAACTGCCGACGTGTTGAAGACGACGTCGTTATTATTGAATTATTTATTTGGTCAAGGGTGGCAACTTAGGCAAGGAGCGCAGTGAGCAGAGGTGGCGATTTCAGGTCCAAAGAGTACAAATCCAGACCAGGATTTTGTTTCAACCAACCAGTTGAGCATAAAGAGTCACCGTCACAGAGTACTCAACTGGTTGGTTGAAACAAAATCCTGGTCTGGATTTGTACTCTTTGGACCTGAAATCTCCACCTCTGGCAATGAGTGTGCACCCTGCGATGGGGTGCCGCCCCGTCCAGGACTGGTTCCTACCTTGCGCCAGTGTTTTAATTTCATATAAACTATTACTCATTTAATCGTCAAATCAATCGGTAAATTATTCGATTATTACAATGAACGACAGTATCAACCCTACTGTAAACCAACAAGATAATCACATGTTGATTAAACAAAATTAAACTGACTGTTGTCGAAATTTCCATATAGATGCTTTACTACTTCCTTGCAATTTTATCCTGATTTTTAAAGTCATTCCTTACTTTGTACATGTGGCCAGACACATGGCATTCGGCTCTCCCACTTCCGGGCACATGGCCGCTTCGTTGAACCAATCGCCAAACTGCTTGATGGGATCCAGGGACGCCAAGTGACCCTCCTCAAAGCACTGCCAGGCAAGGACATCGCTAATCAGACTCATACCCCAGGACTGATTTGGAGGGAGTCACATCTCTCACCACATTAACATGCGTAAAAATATTTTAAACATAAAATAAGCCTCATTTAAACACTGCGTTTCTCTGAAGCGCTCCAAATGTAAGAAATAGTACAGTTCGTCGTACTCACTTTGATACGGCCCGTTTGAAAACCTAAGACAGCACCTGCGGCTAATATACATGATTTGACTGTATTATGAATAAATGTCTAAATTTACACGCACGCCTCCGTTTCACTTTTTTGTTAGATTTAAATGGACACAATATCTTCAGACGGTAATAGGAGAAATACGATCATAAGACCTTGAACCAAGCAAGAGAGCCATTACATAATATCGTATCACATCGGTCTTACAAGCTTCAGAGCTAGCATGCATAACTGTATTTCATGTGCCCTCTTTGGAAGACACAGCGAAGACTACAGGTACATTTTATGAATGGTCAACATAGCTCCACAGCCGAATGCGGTAAATAGCGTAACGGACACGCATAAGCTAACCTCCTCATCTGCCTTGTATGTCTTTCTCATGTCACTGAGATCCATGCCTGCACTGTCCTGTATCGGTCCTCTCCCGAAACCCGAAGCAGGCGCACTAAAGAACAAGCCCGTTCCAAACGGAAGCTGGAATTCACTCCAGAAATTCGCCGTCCGCTTTATTGATGTGCCCAAATTGCGTATCACGATTGTGCAACGCAGCCATCGTGACATTTTACCTGACGTAAATACACACATATTTGCGCATGAAAATCCCAGTAGGATCCCAGTATGTTTTTCTTGTTGCTTTGGCGACAGCGCCACGGTCAAATTCATTAAACTACTATTCATAATTGAAAAAAAAAATCTATCTTTTGTCTGACAGTTTATGTAATTATATAACACTGTTGATACTTAGATAAATAAGATACAATTTACCTACCAACATACCACTAATTTTCAAATGTATGTCATACTGGAATGGTATTTGTGTTTTCTAGCATTAATTTTTTTAATTTTTACGATAAATGTCCATCCATCCATCCATCCATCCATTTTTCAACCCTCTTATCCTACTGGGTCGCGGGGGGTCCGGAGCAATGGGCACGAGGCAGGGAACAACCCTGGCCAGGGGGCCAGCCCATCACAGGGCACACTCACACACCATTCTGTCAGCACACCTATGGGCAATTGAATAACTCAAATTAGCCTCAGCATGTCTTTGGACTGTGGGGGGAAACCTGAGTGCCCGGAGGAAACCCCACGACGACACGGGGAGAACATGCAAACTCCACACACATGTAACCCAGGCGGAGACTTTAACCCAGGTCCCAGAGGTGTGAGGCAACAGTGCTAACCACTGCACCACCATGCCGCCCCTACGATAAATGTACTATGACAAATGTAAAACACAATGAAATGCGATAATTTGGAACTTTGGAATATTGTTATATTTATAGATACAGAGTATATTCTCTGTCTAACTACTGAACTAGGTGTTTAGACAATCTTCGAACAATCCCTTGCAAATGTGGTTATTTCCTATCATGGCAGGGATGACACGACAAGTTAATTTGGCTTATGATTGGAACAGAATACCTGTACCATGAATGTTTCACATTACTCCTCAGTTTTTATTTTTGTAGTGTCTTGGAATATTATGAGGAATATTTAAGCATCGTTCTTGTCAATGTGAGAAGTACGTAGTATAGCAGATATACTACAATTCCATTGGTACACCGATCATAATACTAGACGATACATAGGAACTGAAAAAACTACAATGTATACGCCTACGTTCATACGTGAAACGACATTTCCGGTCAAAGATGGCGGCGACCTTGTGCTTCACGTTCTTGCCGAAGCAAGGTATGATACTGCTATTGCAATATGTAGACAGATGATTAGATGCGAATAAAATTGTTTAAATGCGTGGAACAATCAAACGTTGTGCTTTAGACGAGCTACGACGCTTTAGAAGTCAGCATAAGTAATAATTAGGCTAGGTGATAACAGTGTGTGATAACGAAATTATATTTCCAATAGGAAAAGGACGCATTGGGTTTTCCTGTATTTAATAATTATATTATTTCCAAATAATCTGAACAAGCGTTGTTCAGCAGACGTTTGGGATTCTTTTTCATTTGCGGCTTTGCCTCAATAATTGCTAAGCTTCCAAGTGGTATGCTCTGCAATTTGGTAGTTAGTGTTGTAATGTGAAAAGTTAAATTTTACATTTTTGAAGTTGAAATAAAAACTTGTCAATGTTGTGTTTGAGTGCTGCTGGAGTGTGTAAAGCTAACACATAAATTGGTATATTTATTTCCATGCTTGAATATTCTGTATGACATTGTTGCAAGTTCTGAGGTTATGTTTAATTGTGAAAATGATCAATTACTGGATTATCTCTAGCAGGATGGCTGCCACTGAGACAGTGTGTTCGCTATGGCTCCAAGGCTGTCACCAGGCACAGGAAGCCAGTGCATTTCCTTAAGCAGAAACTGCTGGCTATTACAGAATACATCCCTCCCAAACCTGAGGAATGTTTCAGAGTGTCCCGCACCAGAGAGACAAAGCAGGCAAGTCAGTAGGTTGTGACTTGTTAAGGTTAATAGAGGCAGAGTGCCACTGAAAGTGTCATTGGTGTTTTGTTATAACCACATTGCTATTTCATATTCTTTGTACCCTCATCATCATTCATTTTGGTTGTACTCTGAATGTCTGGTAGTTATATATTGGTTTCCTGCATTTTATACTATCTGTATGTTGCCTTAACTTAACCAAGCAATACACTAAATTCAAGGAATTACTCAATAAATGTACATTAAGTTTTCATTGTATTTATATTATGTTTCAGTATAAAATGTTTCATTAAATAGAACTAAAATCAGTATATTGCCATGCACATGCAGTTTGGTCTTATTCAATTTTAAAACAATGTAACTGAACAGAAGACATTTGTTCTAATATTAAGATTAACTTTATTGATCCCAATACAAACACATTGGCTGAAAGGTGAGTTAGAGATAGGCTATGCAAGTGTCCACCGAGGCTACTGATTTGCAGAACACTGAAATTTTACATTCAAAAGATTTTGGCCAAAAACTCATTAAGAAATATCTACTGATGTCCAAAGGTAGTGTGTATAAGTGTGAGTTTATTTTGGAAAAACAAAGTTCTCATATCTCTAGCCTATAATCTTTTGGAAATATATTACCTGCTGATTAGCAAAATGAACTCAGTTTGATGCTTTACTCCATTTTAAAGTGATATATTTTATCTCCACCTCAGCTCCTTTATTTTGGATTGCTCTTTAGTGCATCTACATGTTGTTTTTGTGAGAGTCAGCAAAATCGCACTACAGTCAAAGATTGCTGCTGTCTGTATAGGTTTTATTGACTGATTAGCGTTCTATCTTCTGCACTAGGACAGCAGAATGACTGCCTTCATAAAGAGGGAGGTGCAGGCCACATTCCAGCAGTCTAAGATGATTGTTGTGGTTCAGAACAATGCCACCACCACTGAGGACATGCTGCAGCTCAGACACCGGCTTCACAAGCATGACGTCAGTGTCAAGTTCTTCCCAAACCAGGTGAGGCTGAGTTCCAGAGCTTAGGAAGGTGTTTCCTCTGAGATGAAGCTTGTAGCTGTGGTTTCACTGTGTTAAAGGGGCCACAGAGTTGCAAGGCTTTCCTGCCTGGACCTGCAGTAAGTATCTGATAGACGTGTATGTACAGAGATGATTCAAAAGGCACTGGGAGCCCAAAACATACCCCACCCAGCATGGTAAAATTTATTGCCTTTATTTTACTGTGAAGTGTAAATTGATAATTTCAGCAAAACTAATTTAATAAACAACAATTCCTTTGTTTTAATTTTACTGTGAAAAACAGAATACACAAATAAAGCAGATTTGTCGTTGTGATATACTATGTCATCAGCCACCCTCGGGGGCCCCCACCCATCTGGGGGCCTTGCCTGTACTGGGGAATGGATTCTGCATTAACATATATATTTATGATGAGAGTTGAATCTTTTGACTGTATGATCCCTGCCTTTTGCACGCAGGATAGTAGGTGTTCTATATCATCTGTAGCCCATTCTTGAATCCATGGCTTTATTAGCTATGTTTGCATGCTCCAGATATAAAACAAATCTTTCGAAATGAAAGGTATTCTGCAGGTTTAATTGGTGTGCGGCAGGTGTCCTCTTTAGAAACTGATTTTATGACAATACAGTAAAATTCCGTTATAGTGGACTCGCTTATAACGGAATATCGTCTATAACGGATGGGGTCCGCCGGTCCCGGCCGTGCGCCTTTAAGAACATGCAGAAAAGCATTGGATATAGCAGACTCGCATATAACGGAATTTTGCTTATGACGTACAAACAATTTGGTCCCCAGGGCCGCTTTTAGCTGTAGTTTTGTTTGGCTATAACAGACATGCAGGCTCCGCCTACAAGGCGCGAGGCGTGCCGGTGATATCCTGCGCAGATACGTATGTAGTCGGGATTATTAATAGTCACTCATCTGGTCAGGTAAAGCTGGATTACTACATGTACAATATAATAATCTATACCACAAGTGTGTCTGCTGGGGTGTGGCATGAGTAAATGGTGTCCTGTAGTTGTGTTCTGGGCAAACAGCAACTCTGGATATAATGGACTTTGGATATAAAATGCCAAAATCAACTTCTGTCACAGCTGTGATGTTATAGTGAGTGACAATTAGACAGCTGATGCTTGTTCTGTACAACTCAATGCTGAATTGAATGCACGATCATTCTTATGAAGATGAATGTTCTGTATATGGACAGTGGTGAAGGGCCTGGTGTGACAGTCACACTATGGTAAGAGCAAGTGCTCACAGTATAAGCATTGGTCAGCAGCATTAATGGCTGTAATCTGGGAATTTATAATTGCGTCTTTTATTTTCCAAATACAACTTCCAAAACATGGGGAAACTCTTGAGAAAGACGTCTTTGTACAATGTGTTTTCAGGCATATTATTAGATGGGCAATGTGCCGTTGATTATATAAACTAGGACTTTCCATTGGGGTTTCCCCCAGAGAAAATAGACCAAAGCGATGGACCACTGACCACATGCATGATCACTTAAGTAACTAAGTGCTGGGGTGGCCTTTAATATTTCTTGTCATACCCCCAGGTGAAAACCCCTGGTATGAACATGATTCTCAGTGGATGGAAGTTGAAGCTTACCCATAATGCTCTGCTTCTGTCTGCAGGTAATGAGAGACTTTCTGTCAGATTCAATGCACAAAAACATGAAGCCCCTGTTCATTGGCTCCACAGTCCTGTTTGTTAGCAAGGAGCCCAAGTTGAAAGAGGTTCTGCAGATCCTGAAGAGCTTCCCACAGCTGGTACTGGTTGGTAAGTCAACCCACAGTTATGAAATCTCCAAACAGCAGTAAAAGGTTTTGTCAGACTTCGCGTGACCATCACTGACACACTGAATCACACACCAGAAGAGTCCCGCTTTAAGAGCACTGCATTTCTTAACTGCCTATAATCAATGATTTCATAGCAATGTATTTGGCTTTGTGTTTCCTTCTTGAGCAGTTATTGTGATAGGGGATTAAAAGATCCCTAAATATTTAATATTATTATGCTAAATATTTAACTATGGTTTTAGCATACAAATCATTTCATAGAACACAGTTCTGAAAAGTTTCAATACATTGTATATTAACTTTCATACATTTTCTACATCTGAAATTATCTTATTTCAGGGAAAGTTAATATGATGATAGCTGCAGATTTATGTGCTCTTTGGTTACTATAATGAGTCTAAACTCATTACACTGTACAACAGTGCTAAGTACTTTTTTTAGGTCTCTCATTGTATATTTTTCATGCAAGTAATACTACTGTAAATTTGGCCAGTAGAAGGCATTCTCCTCTCTAAAAAAATCCCAGTGTGCCAGGTCAGTGAAGAGGACATTTTCATGCTGAAGATCCAGGATGACTCCAGCGCTCTTTTAAAGATTTTCTCTGAATTTCTGAATGACGATCTTCAACACATAAGGTGATTCACTTGCTTCTGTCCTTCTTGCAGGAGCTTGTGTGGACGACACGCTGATGAGCAGGCAGGGCATAGTGAGCTACTCCAAACTGCCGCCGCTGGCCACGGTTCAGGGGCAGGTCCTGGGTGGCCTCAGTCTGCTGAGCTCCCAGACCTCCTCAATGCTGCACCGTCACCCTGCCCATCTGTCCGCTCTTCTCCAGCAGTACCTCAAGCAGCAGGTCATCGACGGGCCATCCCAGGAGACTGGACCTGAGGCACAGGACAGTGTAGCATAAGGGCAGGTCTGGAGGTATTGGGGGTGCTGAACTCCTGTCCCCAAGACCTGCAGCGAGTGCCATGTTCCAGGAAGCCTTGGCTCCATAATGATTGAACTTGGACAGCCGGTCACCTGAGAGTCAACTGTGAATTATGATGTTTTCTAAAACTTGCAGGTCTGGTTACTGTGGAGCTGACCTGTGCAGCCCTGCTCTATGTGGATGGCTGGTAATCCTGTGTGTCTTTATTGTTTGGTTATGTGCTTAAAGTACCCTGTAAATATTTGTGTAGATTCTGGGTAAATAATACATAAAAAAAACATGGTGGATCTTATTAAAAGGAATCAACAGCTTTCATTTTCCCTGTGATCTACATTGATTTAACAGATTTAATTTTTTTATGAAGTTTTGATCCTCCACTGTAGAGGGTTCAATAAAACTTGCTGACCATTGATAAATAATTAGGCAGACAGGTAAGGTTAGGGTTAGAGCATCAGGACAGTCTTCTGGAAAGCAGAAGTTTTTACTGACAGCTCAAATATCAGTTATTTTTACGTAACAGGCACCTTGGGGCCTATCAGTGGACTCTGCGATCCTTCACTCTTTTCAGGGAAGCCAAGGATAATGTTCATTTAGTTGTTACCGTCCTGTAGTGCACATTCAGGGAAGATTTATTTGGAGCTAATTTTAACTTTGTACGTCATCACAAAGAAATTCCATGAAGGAAGGCAGGGCAACAATGTAAAAGAATTTAGCACAATAATTTTTTTTCAAAATAATAATAATAATAATAATAATAATAATTATAATTATTATTATTATGCAACCAAACACAGAAACAGGGTAAGTCATAGCAGTGGGAGACAGTGAAGGGGAAGGCAAAAATAGGGAGAGAAAAACATTCACACAATTAACCACAGTAAGAGGATTACTAAATATAAAATATAATTAAATCTAATGTATTTACCATATGCACACCTATATGCAAAGGTAAGGGTCATATCATAGAGCAAGTGATTGTGAGTAAAATCAACGAGTCAATATACAAACAAATAAGGACATAATCATAATAATGATATGTTTGTTGATACTGTATGTTCACAATAATTTGTTTTTTTAATTGTCACAGATATTGAAACCCAAAAACAATTATATAGGTTAACGTTGCATATTAATTAGAAATGTGACTTTGATCTTTTTACTAAATTATTTTATAACTGGCACATTGTTTCAGCTATGCTTTTGCTTTCAGATGCATCTCTTTTACTGTCATTTACAACATGAGTTGTAAAAGGAGTTTTGTCTGCAGGATGTATTGAACCTATTTTGTGGCAGACTGCCCCTTTAACCTATTTTGTGGCAGACTGCCCCTTTAACTAGTGACAAGGCACTAGTAAATGCAATTGTGGGAGTTAGCAGCAGGATAGGTCTGGTAATAGACAAGTGAAACATTTTCATAGATCCCGATTACTGCTAATCTCGGATTACATAGTGTTAATCTAGGTCAGTCCGTTGCTGCTTTTCTGTATATTTGAAGGAGGCTCCTTACTATTGTTTTACTGGTAGACACAGAAAGGTGAAGCAGAAGGTAATTATTGAATCGACTGTGCGCTACGTTGGAGATCCACTAACGATCACAGAAACAACCTACTGTACCACACACACAAGCGCACGTCGTAGTGAACCTCATTCTGAAATGGGGGAATCTCGCATGTTCCCGAAGTAATGAACTAATTGTTTGGATTAGACAATCACGGGCTGCTTTGAGTTTTAAGAATGGGTGTGTTCACAGAAACGAGTTACCAGCTACTTCGTGTATGGCCGGGAAGAGTCAAATGAGCTCGTATATCTCCACTAAAACACTAAATCGGATGAAACCCTGATCGCACCAGGGACTTCGCCGACTGCAGAGCTCGGTCCGTGCTTAGACAAGAACGTGCTGGCAGATCCGCCCTGGGAGTCTCTGTCCGCGGTATTTTGGGATGAGGCTACATGCCTACGAGTAAAACTGGTACCTCCAGCTTCCTCATGATGTGATGTCATAAAATTATGAAATTATGAAGGAAGAAATAAGCAGAGCGCTCCTGACTTTATAGAACTGGTCCGGAGAGGGAACCGCCGGAGACCCGGGATCCAGGTAGGGAGGGCAGGGAAGATGTGAAGGTACGGCCGAGTTTAAGTGACGCCAATATATACTATCTTATTTTGGTGGGGACGTTTTTAACAGTAGAATATAGTGGTAGGCTAACGCTTTAATGCGCGCCACGATCGATAGTTTAGGAACATCCTTATTAAGAAGGTTTAATGATCAAATTTTAAAATTTGTTTCAAATTTAGTTTTACTTGCATTTATATCTATAGGTGTTTGTTAGTGTGCAGATATATCTATAGGTGTTTGTTAGCGTGATTTTTTTCTAATGGGTTTCATCCTTACAATAAAAAGTACAAAGTAGGCCTAGCATACTTATTAGAAGAACATAGATAATTTATGCTGTAGGTTAGTTAACCAAAAATAATCAGTTTTAAAAGAAGAGCTTTACCAAAAGGTATGTGCACGTATTACACGCACTTTATTATTGTCAAGCTGTTACACACTACTGTTATTGAGAAATGACATGTTGAGTGTTTTTTTCCACTTTACGAGCAAACTTTAAGACATCGCTCAGTGTTTGAAATCATCATAAAATGGCACAAAAGGAATGATTAAATACGCATTAGACAGTACTTAATTGGTAAACAGGTGTCGGAGCTTATATTTAGTACACTGACCTACTGTAACCATTAGCCTACGTGAAAAGCCGGAGTGCGGAGTTTGAATGACGTCACTCACAAATCGGTCTTTAACAACGATAATGCGCTGTTAATTACTTAACACGTAACAATGCAATATTTTCTGTTGGCACCTCTTAGTTACACCAAAGACAGACGTACTCCATTAGATGAGTTTAATGGTCCAGAAGGTAACCTCATCTATTTCAGTTGTCAAAAAGTTGTTTTTATCTCCGCGAGTCAGATAAGCGAAACAAAAGTAAGATATTAATTTTGGCGGATGTATGTAAAGATCATACAACACAACCGATTTTATAAATATAAATTTCTTTAGTTATTCCAGCGTTTAACTCTGATTGTAATGGCTGTAGCGTTTGAGGTGTTGATCTATCAAACCCCATCATAAATTAAGCTCTCACTCCAGGTCAGATATTCTGTGAATCCACCCGATTAACCAACCGTAATTTAATGTACAATCTGCGTTCGTAACTGTCTAGTCTGTAATTTTTTCTAATGTGTAACTTTCTACATGGACCAAAATGGAAGTTATAAAAAGCTATAAATTGGTTGTTATTAAAATTACACGTGATGTAGTATTTCTCGTACGAAAAGGGGAAAAAAAAACATCTTTGAGCCTTTTTAAGATGACAGATGGGTGACTTTCAGCCATAAAAGTCAGACGAGTCAAACCTGGAAGCCATCTGCGTAAAAGCAAAATCTTTTCTCCATTTTCAGTTTCACGTTATCAAAATATGTCAGCAAGAAATACTAATTCAGAGGTCTGTGCTGGTTGCGAGGGTGATGTGATGTCCATGAGCGTTGGAGGGGCATGGATGCCCTGGCAGATAAAGGCGGTCCAGCCCTTGGAAGGGCTGCCTGAATCCATAAAATCAAGCCCTATACTGAAAGCAGCTGGGGGCAAGATGACACTTTAGCTGGGGGCCCAGAGTTTCTAAGTATGCCCTATGCCCCCAGTGGTGTCACTGGGCTGCACTGCTGCCTTATTCCTCCAGTGCTGGGAATTGGAATCTCACCTTCGCTGTATGTTTGTTGGAGTGGATCGGCATGTTCTCCTTGTGACTCATAGGTGTCCTCCCCTAGTCCACGTCCACATAGTCAGGCTAATTGATGTCACTGAATTGTATGTGTGTACATGCCCTGTGGGAGGGCCTGACCTTTGGTGTTTCTGCCTTTTCTGCCTTGACCTTATTACCTCATACTCAAGGACTCTTCAGCTGTAGCACTGCTAAAAATAGGCCCCTCCAAGATAATTGCATTGGAGGGGAAATTCACCTGCTTATCCGCTCTGCTGTATCATGTGTATCATGTGGTACACGCAGCCATGTCAGATACCCGAGTCATGTAGACCAGTGGCACACAGATTGGTATGGCGGCTTAATATTAGACATCTTCTGAATGTATCCACAGTTTTGTTGATAGCTAATCGAATTTACAAAGCCAAACATCTGTACTTCCTTACTTACTTGGTTAAATGATTTACGTCCTCCCAGTGATTCTGACTATGATTATGTACTGGGTCATTGTTTGTGGATGTACGATCGAGTGTTGAAATTCTCTGTCCTTGTGTTTTTTAATGGAAAGATTTATTTTGACAGCGTGAATAGCCATAGTTGCTGTTGATTTAAAACCTGTCTGGAAACTTTGACTTTAACTTTGACTCTGACAGTTTTATTTGCTGAGAAAGTTCACCCCTAATTGCAGGATTGTGAGGGAGCAGCATCAAAGGCTTCTGTTTAACCACTGCACCCCCTGCTCTCTTCAAGAAACATAGTTTACACATTTGCCTTTTTTTTCTTTTTGTAATTATTTCTGTGCCTTGCCATGTATTGTAGATACCATATATGGTATGTAATACATGTGTAAAGTCTTATAACAAGGCCTGCCTCTGTCTGGTTTTGTAAATTAAATCTAACAGTACAGCTGTAGTTCATGCAATATGCTCTTTGCAGCTTATGCCAGAAGTGTAGCTACATTAAATGATTGTGGAATAACTTTTTATGTAGAACCATAATGCCAGGGGTGTAGAAACCGTTAATCAGCATGAAAAAAACACTATGGAACTGGTTAGGGTTCATTGTCTGTGTAATTGCCTGAATATGTTGCCTGAATGTTAATGTAAACTTGTTATGGTAAAGAATTAATGTCATTGATTCTGATGAAAACTGTAGAACTTTTATATGCATTTTAGTTAGCCAGCGAAAACTATGTAATTAAAGTCTTGATTGACCCACTATCTAGTTACTAACCCCTGATGTTGCAGGTGTGAGAATAGTGCTACCCATGGCAACACTGTGCCTTCCTGATTGTAGTTAAGTAAACTAGTATCTACGCAGTGTGTGTCCTCTTAATCTTCACCTCTGCTTCCTGGGCTGCTGGCTCTGCTTGGTGCTGTAGTGGATAAGCAGTTATGGAAGACACACCATCAGAAAGCCTTTCCTTTTCTCCAAATTCAATCCAGCAACATGCAGTCAAGTGTGAGTGCACATTCTAGCCCTTGCCTGGACTGGATAGACTGGTGGCTCCAGTCACATGGCCCCCTCTCCTGTTTATAGAAAATGGATAAAAAA